AATTTGGTTGGTGGTTGCCAACGGTTTAGGGGAACCTACCGCCTCCGTCTTCAAGGTGGACTTAGAATTGTCAAATATCTACCAAAATATACGGCGACACATCCCAAAACACAGCAATTTTCATAATGACTGCTATGTGAAACTGAAAAAATCACAGTGGAGATTTAAGGTTTCGGCGGTGGTGAAGATTGATACTCTTGACGTGAATTAGTGAAAAAAAAAATGTATTTACTTGTTCTGCAAGCAGCCAAGTGCCGGGTCAGAGATGACGCCCCCACCTTAAAGACAGAGAATGTGATAAGGTGCTGCGTGGCAGGGCTGTCGCACACCTCAGGGGGAGGTGATAGATGAGTATGGCACAATGGTGGAGGAAGGGGAAAACCGAAGAAATTCGGAGAACTTGCTGTTGTTTCACTTCGCCTGTCAAGTAACTCAACATCAATCACCTGGTGTTGAACCCAGTCCTCAGCTCTCCGAAGTCCATGTGAGCTGTATAACGACTATGTAATGTATTAGCCTTGCAGAACTTGCAGAATCTTTAAAAAGTCGAAATAACTTTTGATCTGAAATATCCTGAATGCTGTTAGTAAGAATCTCTGGGTCGGGGAAAGAAAAGAAATGCTACAGATTATAGCATTCCCTTGAAGAAGCATCTAACAAGTTCTGGCTACAAGGTTGATTGTGCAATTGTGTCTCATTAAGATCATTGTTACGAGGAAGCTAACAGCAGCATGGATGACGTAATGAAGAGAACAAACATGGAGCAGTTACCATGGCAATTTGCAGTCTGAACACGTCATGTGAACACTGCCTGGCCCAGGGCAGACATTGAAACAGTCGCTCTAGAGGCGAACAGGGAAGGTTTATTCTATGACGTGAAGTGGATGAATTGACCCGGAGTCGAAGCCGTGTCTTCGTGATGGAAACACGCATATGGCTGTTCAAAATGTCTGGGAATAAATTTTATATCTTCGCGCATGACTCACGCATGGCATGTTCCGATCATGAACAAGGCAAACTCCACGTTCCTAGGACGAACTACGAGTAAGCTACACGACACTTGTATCTGTGTTGCCATATTGCTCAGCTACGCACCTGCGCAGAAGCGGCACGTGTTTGTCTCCAAGGTGCCGCTGGGTCACGACTATCTCACTATCTAATGAACTAGCTAGCCAACCAACTGAAAAACTGTCTAGCTAACAAACTATTTCTATGTAGCAGAGTCCTTGTTGATGATCACAGTGGCTGCGTAGTCTAAGACTTGAACTGTCTTCGCCCACTCGAACGCTGGGATTGTGGGTTCGAATCCCACTCAAGGCATGGATGTCAGTGTGCATTTATTCTGTGTAGGTAGCGACCCCGTCCAAGGAATGTTACCGATTGTGTATAGGCTTAAGAAACTGAATAGGCGGCCCAGGACCAACAAAGGTTCTGTAGATCCGTACACAGATAAGAGTACTTGTTGAAACTATAAAGCTCCTCATCTAATTAAGAGATTTTTGCTTTTTTATGCGGGTCGATGGTTCATTCCCATGTTTTGCAAGATCCCATCACTGGACTCTGTCTTGACCCAGTTTCATCCACTGCACACTCAAACATCCTGTTTCTTTAGGTAAAAAGTAAAGTTGTTCTTGTATCAGGCCGTGGAGGCCCATAGGGTTGTGAGATGTTGAGGTTCCCACATTTTCTAGACAGTTGTCAGCCTTTCGCGCGGGCCGCGCTTTACTCCCCAGGATAATTAGTTAATTAATCCCTGGTACTCATTGCTGTTATTTTCCTTCCATCTACCCCCATGTGTTATCTGTCCTACAGATGTCACGAACGGAAATCTGTACGCATTTCTTGTCTCGTGTGCGTGCTACAGACACGTTCAGGGTGAAGAGAGAGTGGGTTCCTCTGAAATGTTTGTACTCATCTACCAAACTGCACGGAATCATATCCCATAAGACTGTAATCCTCATTCAAGTTGTAAAAAAAAATTTTTTTGCGTCAGCTTGTACTTTTCCTCCTTACGCTCGGCTTTCCTCCTTTCTCCCTTACTTATTCTTCTCCTTCATCTGTGTATCTTCCTCTGCCTTTCATCCTGCACTTGTACATTCCTGTTGCATTGTAGTGTATAGGCCATGTTTTTAGACCTGACTTGTGAACTGCGCGAGAGGAAACAGTAAGGAAAGGACTTGCGGGGTATTGTTTACATTTGCGTTGTTGGAACATGGGGAGGGAGGGAGGGTGACGCACTTTAACTGTGGACTCAGTGGGCTCGACCAAATGCGCTGCGCAGTCTGCGGATAGCGGCCAGGTATAGAAGCCCGGACTGTAGGTAACGTAGACAAAGACCCGAAACTTAGTGCAGTTCGTGACATCACACTAGTTCTGAAACAGTTTTGAGGTTAAGTTGTTATGACAGGGAAACTTATCTCTCGGTATATCATTAGTACAAACGCACTATTTTTTTTTATTGCTAGTGGGGTGGGGCTAAGTCCCTTGTACTGCGGCCACTTCTGGCCTATTCTGACAGGAGGTTGGAGAAAACTGCATAATGAGGAGCTTCATAACTTGTACTCTTCTCCAAATATAATTAGAATGATCAAGTCAAGGAGGATGAGGTGGGCAGGGCATGTAGTACGAATGGGGGAGAAGAGGAATGCATGTAGGATATTGGTGGAAAAGCCAGAAGGAAAGAGACAACTGCGAAGACCAAGGCGTAGGTGGGTATACAATATTAAAATGGATCTTAGAGAGATAGGATTGGATGATATGGATTGGATTTATGTGGCTCAGGATAGGGAGTGGAGTGTTCTTGTGGACACGGTAATGAATCTTCGGGTTCCATAAGATGCTGGGAAGTTCTTGAGTGGCTGTACAATTGGCTGCTTCTCAAGAAGGGCTCAGCTCCATGAGTGAGTATCCCTGTACTTGTGTAATTAAAGCACTTTATCATATAGGCTTATGGGTAAGTGGAGGTATAGCTCCATCATTCTTGACCTCGACACTGGATGGAGGTGAGTGGTCAGCTTCACGCCTCTGCCGGCTTACCCCCTAGGAAAGAGTTTCCTAGGACCCCAGAGCCGGTCAGGACGATAAGGTGAAGAGAAAAATCTCTTGCCTCTGCTGGGAATCGAACCGCGATAATGGCGCTCATAGCCTGGTCGCTATACCGACTGAGCTATTCCGGCTCGTAAGGTTTGACATACTCTAGAAGAACGATTTAGACAAACGTCAGTCGATAAATGTCACGCAAAGCTGAGAGATCATGAGATAAGCAAATATTTTCAGAGAGTTCCTAATGAACTGAGAATGTGTACTGACCAGTGCCTGACCAGTGTACACTTCAGTTATTACATCATTATCGGACGGCATGAGGTGAAAGTGGACCTCACAGGGCGCACATGATAACCTAGTTGCAGAACTGGCAGATAAGTTTAAGGCTTCCTGTAATATTCTTAAGCCACAGAATTGTTAACGCGACACAGTAGACAGGTGCATGGACGCTGCAAAAATTTCTTTTTTTGGGGGGGGGGGGAGATCCTGAAAGTTGCGCACAAACTGAAATTTACTTCTTCTATATCTGTTATACTGATCGCCCTAGAGTGTTTAGAATAGAAGAATGCATTTTTAAAAACATTTTTCATTGTTGGAACCTATTTTCCTTCTTTTTTTATTTTATTTTATCCAAATATTCGGGGAGGGGGCTTAGAGGGTGCCGAATTTGCGGCCGTTGAACCTCATTCATGCTTGATATGGCAATTTATATTCTGGGAGTTCATCGACGTTTCGGAAGAACGTACTGCCTCCGTTTTCAGGCTCAACTTATAAGTCAGACTAGCGACCAACCAGCAAGAAGCCACAGTTCTGTATCTGAAGCAAGTGTTCCACACGCAATTCGCTTGTTTCTGGTTACTTGCGTGGCTTACTCTTCAACTATGAATATGGAGGCAGTACTTTCCTCTGAAACGACGGTGAAATTATACAACTCTACACTGCATCACATCCCAAAGTTAGTACTCTTCATAGTGGCTACTGTGGAAACCTCAGATCGAACATACAAACTTTCGGACTTTTCGGAATTACTGAGATTTTTTGTTTTGTCCATCGTTCAGTATTCTAAGAACTAGGAAACAAAACGTTTCGGAAACCGGGTCTGTTCCCGTCCTCAGGTGAAGGAGAGACCTCAATAACTGGACAATCCACCTCAGTATAACTAAAGGTGTATAAATACCCGAGACCAGGCTTTGTCGAAGGGAGACACAGCAAAATATGCAATAAAAATTGTAATAAAGCATTCACAGACGTGAAACTAAGACATGGCTTGTCCAGTGATTGAGGTTAGCTCTTTCTAAGGGACCCAACAGAGTAGGTGTCTTCGCCCTCAACTGAGGAAGGAAACAGACCCAGTATCCGAAACGTTGTGTTCTTTAGAATACCGGACGGTGGACAAAGTCCAAAACCCCAGTAATTCTGAGTGTTATAGGGGTGACAGTGGCACTTTTATTTCTTAATAAGGAATTTATGATAAGTTTCATAAAGATTGACTTCAGTGTGTTAAGGCAGGGGTTATCAACTCTTGTGATATCGCGACCCACTAAGATTACGCATAAACTCAAGCGACCCGCCTTCCCCCCCCCCATGTAGGCTAGAGAAACGCGCAGTTCTGCGCATTGTTGCGGGTCCCTGTCAGGCTGTACGGCGACAGCAGGAACCTAAATAGCTTTACAGCCTCTCTACAATTACAGTAAACTATAAAATGTTCCTGTATACTCAGGAAGAAAATCGCGAAATATTTGATCGTCTGCAGCTGCACGTGTCACGTTAAATCTTACAGAATTTCCACAGCTGTGCATGTTGCAACTACGTTTAAAATATTTTTTGCGAACTTGGCGACTCCTAAATTTCGCGACTGATTGGTTGTTAAATCCTTGATTTAGTTATTAATCCTGCTATCAGTGTGCTTGCAGTGTACTGCGTAAACAGAACAACGTCAAATAATAAGTTTATCTCACCCTTTCACTGGACAGATCCGCCATAAGCGAGTTGCATCCAGCTGTTGAGAACTGGGGCATATCTTGGTTTTTGTGCTGCGAGCTTATGCATCCGGCTGATGACTGATGAGACATCCAAGTTCTGGTGATGTGATGAGTCTTATTCCGTGGTTCTGTCAACTGCATTTACGTCAGAGTTTCAACAAGTCGTGTTTTGTCACATTTTTCTGTGCGTCATTCTGAGCTGACTCTGTGTAGATGAGGAGCCGGGATAGCTCAGTGAGTATAGTGACTAGACTACATGCTATGCGATATAGAAATCGGAGCTCGTTCGATGTAGGAGTAAGAGAGTTATCCTTTAAGCACAATATCCCACCCAGCTTCCTGTACAATGGGTACCGGGGGCTGTTTCCCCGGGGGTAAAGCGGCCGAGGCGACCACTTACATCCACCTAGTGCCGAGGCTGTGAATGGTGGAGCTACACCTCGTTTTCCCTATACATTTTGATGGCGTGATGCTTAATTAGTTATGCCCAGGGGTAATTTTACCTCTGCTTGTGTGGACGGGGTTGGTATGACAGAAATATCTGGTAGGTTAGGAGGTCTCGAATTGTATTCGGGCTCGGCCTCCGATTAATTTCGTGGTTTCACTGAGTTTCTCCAGTTGGGTGCTGGTTTAATGCTGTACCTTGATACAAGGAGCAATCACCTTCACGCTCGTGTTCCCATTCGTTCGAACCAGGCGGAAGGGGGAGGAGAGGGATAAGAATTGTATAATATGGTGGCTTTACAGCAGACGGGTATGCTTTTGGTGATTTTAAATTAGGAGGGCTACATGAGAAGCGCGCAGTAGCAACTTGGAATCTGGGAATCATCTCAACAATTGCTTGAAGAAAACCAACAAAACCCGTGTCGAAATGGCCGGTTGCAGGACCTTCGGATGCATAGCCAGCGGTCCTACAGCCACAAGAATACGGGAGTTCGCTACTTTTTCCGGACATACGTTCTCTTCCGAACCCTAACGTTTATATCAATAATAATAAATAATTCAGTTCCTACCTCACAGAGAACAATCAACTTCAAAGCCCAGCCGGTTAATGCTGTTTAGGGAAACAGTCGCTGTTTATTGTGAGAACCATACGGAACGCACAGATACACTGTGTGGGCAGAATATATAGCAATTCAGTCCGTACCTCACAGGAAACACATTATGTCTCCGCTACAGAGCCCAACCGGTTAATGCTGTTTAGGGAAACAGTCACTGTTTGCTGTGAGAACCATACGGAACATACAGATACACTGTGTGGGCAGAATGTATAGCAATTCAGTCCGTACCTCACAGGAAACACATTATGTCTCCGCTACAGAGCCCAACCGGTTAATGCTGTTTAGGGAAACAGTCGCTGTTTACTGTGAGAACCATACGGAACATACAGATACACTGCGTGGGCAGAATGCGGAGTTACATTTTTCTTAAAGGAAGTGGTACATGTGCTGTAAACATATGCTTACTAATATTTTGCCCAGATATTTTTATGATCGTGTTGAGATGTCGCAACACCTGTTACCGTTACGTTGCAACGGTTACGTGTTGTCTGATACTGTTAATTGCATCCGAAATTGGACACAGCGTCATGTTTCTCACCTACCCGTTTAACGTACGCGCTCCCTTACCTTGAAACTGCCTTCAGTTACCTCATTTTTGGCACCTCGTTACAAAACAAGGTGAACTCCCACACGAGCGACTGTAACAAATTGCACTGTCGCCTTGAATCTGTCATTTTTTGTTCCTCTTGGTTAGTTCCGATTGTCTCGCGCGAGTGGGCAGCACCTGTGCTTTGTGTTCTGGTTGAGTAGAGGCCCTGACTGGTGTTTACGCGGTATTCCTCAGTCCCTCCGAGCAGATGCTGGAATAGTATATGTAATTACACAAAGATGATTCCTATCCTACCTATTCACTATTCAGCAGACATCCTGTCACACAACACTGAAGGTATGCGCCACTGTCAGCGTCGGTAAGCGAAGTGTTCTCCTTGTCTCTCTTTTCATAGTCCCACTTTACTTATTGTCTTCCTGCTCCTTCCACCCCGTCCGCATCTCTTCTCATTCTCTTCCTTCTTCTTCTCGTCCTATATCAGTACCCCTTTTCACGTAAAGATTATGCCTGTAACAGGCCGTGGAGGCCCATAGGGTTGTGAGACGTCGAGGCTCCCACATTTTCTAGACAATCAGCTCACAGAAGGCGGTGATGTCACCCTTACGCGCCGGCAGCCCCTTACTCCCAGGAAGATTCCTGGTACTCATTTGTGTTAGAGACTGAGCCGACCCCAGGGCCACAGTGCGGCTGGAAGGATCAAGTCAGTTGAAATAAAAAAAAGTGTCATGAAGTCGTGAATATAATCCCCGACCTCTCGGTTTGTAGCATAGTGCCTCAACCAACTATGCTTATCTATGTAAGCACTACGCCATGAAGGCGCATGGGGGAGTGGATGTATATATCCACGTTTTCTTGACCTCGATACTAGTTGGAGGTGAGTAGTTAGCTTCACGCCGCGGCAGCTTTATCCCATGGGAAAGAGCTTTTAGTATCTATTAGATAGGACGCTAGGTAGTTCCCAGAACCGATCTGGACGACGTGGAGAGGAGAAAGTTCCTGACCCTACCTGGACTCAAACTCCGACTCTTCGACCATCAAGCCTGTAAGCCAGTCGCTATACCGACTGAGCTATCCCGACTCCATTGAAAGGCAGGCGCTAACAGCATCGATAAGTAAACTCTCCTTCTGTTGTTCGTTTTCACATTCTCTTTCTTCATGTCTTCCTGCTGTACCGTCTGCATATCTTCTTTGTTTTTCTCTTGTTTCTCCGTCAGTTCCTGTAATTATCCCTGATATGTGCCCCTCCTTAGCCCTCTTCCCGTTAAGTGTGCTGACCTGCGCAAGTTTCCCTCAGCATCTGGCAGGGACAGTGCAGACGGGCATCCGAGATCGATACAGCACAGGGACGGCTCTGCGCTGTACCCGTGGCCACGGATGTTCCAGGATTTGAGAAGTCACGGGATAAACTGCAGAGCCGCGTCTCTCTGGTGTCACGTGTCCACATATTATCACTGTGACGCCACTGTGTCTGCTTTGTCATTCAACACAGCAACTGACCGCCATATCAATAAATATACTAATTCACAGGGGCCCCCAACACTGCCTACATAAAGTCCCTTCCCTGTTTTTCTATGCGGTCCGTGCCGAGATGTTATGAGTCGGACAGTTGGTGAGTGAGTCAGTCGAAAGTTGCTGTAGCTAAGGACGGAGACAGTTCGGAAACCTAGAGGAAAGGGAACGTCCGCCGTTCGGACCCGTCACCAGGCAACAGCTGGTGAAGACACAGCAGGCTGTGAAGACTTAAGTGTGTGCTCTAGTGAATTATAAAGTGTGTGAATTAGTGAAACGGTTATAATTACTTGTAATCACGGATCTGTACGAGTTAAATAAGTACAATTACCAATAGAAACCCCGTCTGTAGTCACTCCAATCACGTGACAATATCCTTCCTCCAAAATGAGCAATGTGTCCTGTCTTTTATGTTCCCATGTAGGCATTTAATTCTTTAAAAAATTACAATCATTTTCAATGATCCCATTAGCAGTGACCATAGACTTGAAAGGTGCTAGTGTTATTCCAGACCATGGGTATGTATCTTCCCCCCCCCCTACAAGGAAATTCGTTTGATACCGCATCACTTTGTGATATCTATCCCCGAAGTTTTACTTGACGCTGTCATAGCAACAGTTTTGGCGCAAACAACTTCCCCGCTTGAAGCGCCGAAAAGAAAAACCCTTGTTCTGAACGTATATTTTTCCAACTTGTAATGTGTTGGTTAGGTGGAGAAATTGTGGGCGGCTTGTTTTCTTTAGTGTTTGTGGATGCCATAAATAAATTGTTTGAAATCGGCTTTAAAAGAGTTCCTCAACAGCTTTGAAAATATACTCCCTCTGACATCAGTTCTGTTTAGCTCTGTCAGCGTCTGGCATATGTTCTTTGTATTGTTTCTCGGGGTTGGGCAGTGAATTGTGGGTGCTGGGTTAACACTTTGAGGGAAACCACGAATAACTCAGTTTCCAGTTGAATGATACTTTAAATGCGCCACAAATCTTAACTTCGAATGCTAACAGCGGTTTAGAATGACACACACATAATCAACATGAAACTATCAAGAGGATAGGCCATCTGTTGACTTACACAGTCTCAGATTTCTAATATAGGATAATTATAAACTTAACAGCTGTTGAAGAATCACGTGACGCCAGTGTTCTCACACATTAGTAACACAGAGGGATGGTGAAGATAAAATTGTCCGTGTTTAACTAATTAAGCACCACGCCATGAAGGGGTATGGAGGAGTGGATGTATTTTTTTTCCCCCTTGGCACTACAGCCCCAGTGGGCGTAGGCCTACCTCAATGAACTTCTCCGTTCACTTCGGTTCTTCTAGATCTTACACATTCGGTAGGACTCCTTGGGCGGGTGATCAACTCGTCGCAAGGCCTCTACCTGTACACAAACACAGAAAAACGCACGCACACACAAGCTAAACATCCATGCCCTGAGTGGGATTCGAACCCATGATCCCGGTTTCCAAGCGAGCGAAGACAGTACATGCCTTAGACCGCTCGGCTACCGTGACCGGCAGTGTGGATGTATAGGTCGACATTTTCTTGACATTACTAAAAGTTGTATAGGTCGACATTTTCTTGGCATTACTAAAAGTTGGTGAGTGGTCACCTTCACGCCCCTGCCACTTTCCTCCCGGGAAAATGTCCCCGGTACACATTGGATAGGAGGGTGGGCCCCAGAGCCGGTTTGGACGCTGTATAGAAGAGAAAATTCTTGACCGTACCGGGACTCGAACTCCGACCCCCTCCCATACCCAACCGCTATACCGACTGCGCTATCCTAGCTCACAAGAGAGGGTTCATGCGAAACTCATGTTAGATGCAAGTGGCCCTGCAGGTCCTGACTTCAAGGAAACACGCTGTCGAAAGCACATAATGTCGGACTTACCTAAGGTGAAGGCCTCGCCATAGCTCAAGCGGTTAGTCGCTGGCTTTCCACCGCGGC